ATATAATGGATTACTAAATATCTACAAAAATACAAGAATGAAAACCACCCAGAATTCACATGGGTTAATATAAAAAGAAAAATGGCACTGATATAGGCATATACTACAGGCACTGAACCAAGAAGAAGAAATAGATGAACCCTTTGCTAATCAATTAGTTAATTTATGTAGGAAACATACCACAGTAGTAATGGGAACTTTAACTTGGCTGATAGCAACTGGGAGACAAACACTGCAGCAAATGGGAGATTGATTACATTCCTAATCAATTTAGCTGACAATGTTGTTATCCAAGAGATAGAGGAGGGGACTAGAACAAAAGCTATATTGGACCTAATTCTTACTAACAGAGAAGACGTGATAGAGGAAGTTGAATTTGCCAGAACCTTGGGTGACAATGACCATGTCATATTAGAATTCAACATAATGCAAGCCATAGAATTTAATCCAGCTAGTCTCTTAAACTTTAAAAGAGCTGATGTTAGCAAAGTCAGACAGAGTCTAAAAAAAAATTCCCTGGGTAAAAACTCAGCTCAAGAAGCATGGAAAACTCTGAAAAATATTGTAGAAAGTTAGCACCCACCCCTCTCCTAGAAGAATAAAATAGTTTAGGAAATATTAAAAATGCAGAATATTATATTTTCCTAAAGGGAGAAATATGCTCTTGGAGACAGAAAGCAGCCCCTACCTTTCTTAATATCCATAAGCATATGTCAGCACTTAAGAGATAAAGAGATAGACAGCTCTATTCATAAGCAAATACCGTCAACCAAGATCCAACAATTAGCCCTCAGCCACAATAGGAATTGCCCAACACCCATTCATTGCATCACCCTCAGAAACTTCAACAAAACCTGGGAGCTCAGATAACCAACAAAGCCAGCTATGACCCCTACATAATCCCTACATGGCCCCATGGGAGTCTGACCACAATCAATAGAATACATGTTCTTGCACAGGAACAGTAAGTTCAAATGCAAAGCCCAAAGGGAAGGTTTAAAAGCCACCCACTCTCAACTCCATGTGGTCAGCTGCACCAGAACCATGTGCTTAGTGGTTCTGCTTCATGAATAAACCATCTTTCCAGTCAGCCTCCATATTTCCAGTGCTTTTCTTCCAGCTTGGAACCGAACCATATAGATATTTCTTCCCACAATATGATCACAAAAGCCTAGTCTTGTCTGGGCTTTATGGCAGAGTGGCTAGACGGAAGCCTCTGGTCAGTGCAAAATACCTGGAAGCCTGCATGTAATGGAAGCCTGCTTGGAATTTGCAAAAAAGAAAAAGAAAAAAGCACCTCAGAAGGACTCTCAGACTGTGAGGAACAAGATTGTCTGGTCTGATGAAACCAAGATTTAACTGTTTTCTCTCAATACTAAATGTTATGTCTGGAGGAAACCAGGTACCACTCATCATCTACCCAATATCATCCCAACAATGAAGCATAGTGATGGCAGCATCATGCTGTCGGGATGTTTTATTACAGCAGCAGGGAGTGGGAGACTGATCAAGGTTGAGGGAAAGCTGAATGGATCAAAGTGTAGATATAGTGTATAGTGTATACAGAGTTAGTTATAATGTAACAGAGTTAGAGGTGTTTTAATCCAATTGCCTGCTCAAGTAGGAGACCCTATACCCCTGATGGCGAAGCTATGGCATGCATGCCACCTGTGGCCATATCAGTGGGCATGCCAGCCTACAGCCTTCCCCACCCCCTCGGAGGCCCTCCAGAGACCTGAAACGGCCCATTTCCCAATTCCCAGTTGGACAGGAAGTGACATTTTTTGCTGTCTCCAGCCTCCAGAGACACCTAGAGAGGTTCTGGAGGCTGTGGACCGCAGAAAACGTCACTGTCTGTCCAACTGGAAGTTGGGAAATGGGCCATTTCAGGCCTCCGGAAAGCTTCTGAGAGGGTGGGGAAGGCTGTTTTCGCCCTCCCCAGATGCATAGTGAGGATCTGGAGCCAGGTGAGAAAGAAAAACGGGCCTACCGGGCCATCGCGTGCCAGGAGCGGGAGGGGGGGGCGGGGGGTGCACACAAATGTGCAGGGCAAGGCGCATAGAATTATGGGTGTGGGCATGTTCACGTGAAACTCCCCCCCCCCAAAAAAAGGTTAGCCATCACTGCCCTATACCATTTCATACAAATGGCTGTCCAATTTCTAATCCTGTAAGGGCCTAAACAGGCAGAAATACGTGTGGGTGATTTTCATGCATTTTCAAGGAAAAATAAGATGTTGAAAGATGTCAGCATCTGTAAGATGCTTTAAGTTTTCTGAGAAATCAGATGAAATAACTTATTGCTACCGAGGACAGTGACATAATGTACATTTTTCAGTTATTTGTTCCATCTGTTCCTCATACACCTCTGATTGAGTATAACTAGCAGATTAAAAGCTGGTTGCAGTCTTAAAGACAGTTCCAACTATATTGTACATTATAAAAGAAAATAGGTTATTTGGAAATAGGTTATTTGGAAAAATTGAGGGAGCAGTTGAGGTTGAATACTTGGTCAATTACAATTATTCTGTCTTTGAATCTTCAAGGTAAAACACCTTCATGATTTTGAAATTTAACAACCTTCTAAATTAGTGTTTCTCAACCTTGGAAACTTTGAGAAACAAGGTACTAGAAGCTCATATTAGTTAGTTTCTAGCTGTAGCCTTTTATCCTTTCTTCTCAAGTTCAAGCTTCCTTCAGTAACAGCTGTCCAATTCAAAATATAGAATTTCATCATTTTGATCTTAGATATTATCTCTTATAAATGCATACAAAACTAAATTTAAGCATTTCAAGAGAATAGGGATATTTGTTCCTCTACAGGTATGACTGTCGCTTAGCAACCATTCAAAGTTACAATAGAACTACTTTGGGACTACTTACATCTCGGATTAAAAATTGTGATGGCTGCAGTCACATGATCTAACTTTGGGCATTCAGCAACACAGCCACATTTAAAAGCCATTTGCAGCATTCTGCAGCCACCGCATTTTACGATGGCTTTGCTGAAAATTGGCATTTACTTCCAGTTTTTGGCAAAATGGCACTCATGGTGAACCTTGATTCGCTTAACGACCACAGCATTCTCTTAATGACTGCAACAAAAAAAGTCATAAAATTGTACAACCATCACAATTTATGAGCGTGTTGGGTAGCCGTCATTATGGTCATAAGACAATATTTTAAAATAACAAATTTAAGAAAAGGGTTGATCCTTAGCCTCAAGCTTTATATTCTTGAAAGTAGCCTAAGGAAAACTTATTTGCGCTTGAATTCTTTCATTATATTTTTTAGTATTATAGTATTAATATAGTTAGATGCAAATCTAGTGATGCTAGTAGCAATATAATATATATCTTTTGAACAACTTCTAATGTTTTATTCAAAAGTTGAAAAAACAAATTATTTTGTCTTAAAATATTAAAGGTCTTGAAACGTTACATTGCAACCAATAACACCATACTTTTAAATATGGTCTTATAAGGTAGACATCCGGATCTCTAATCTAAGAATGTTGCTTAGATTTTATTTATTTATTTATTTATTTATTTATTTATTTATTTATTTATTTATTTATTTATTTATTTATTTATTTATTTATTTATTTATTTATTTATTTATTTATTATTGAATTTCTATACCGCCCTTCTCCCTGAGGACTCAGGGCGGTGTACAGCCAAAATTAAAAAACATGCAGGACAAATATTAAAAAACAATTAAAAGATATATAAATGTGGCCCAATTAAAACTCATTACCAATTAAAACGTTTAAAACATTTAAAAACAATTAAAAATTTCATCTTAAGCCAGCCCGGCTTGCTTGAAAAAATGGGTTTTAAGGGCATGACGGAAGGCACTGAGGTCCTGGATTCTCCTTATCTCTGGGGGGAGCTGATTCCAGAGGGTAGGTGCCCCCACAGAGAAGGCCCTCCCCCTGGGGGTCACCAGCCTACACTGTCTGGCTGATGGCACCCTGAGGAGGCCCTCTCTGTGGGAGCGCACGGGTCGATGGGAGGTCATCGGTAGCAGCAGGCGGTCTCGAAGATAGCTAGGCCCTATGCCATGGAGCGCTTTGAAGGTGATAACCAACACCTTGAAGTGCACCCGGAAGACCACCGGGAGCCAGTGCAGCTCGCGCAGGAGCGGTGTTACATGGGAGATGATGGAGCCAATCTAATTAGAGCTGTAAAAAGGGGTTGCATGTTTTTCTCTTGTTGAAAAAGACAAAAATATTTGGTCTCTGCTCAGTTTATAGACTTTGGATTTTGTCTTCCATTCAGATCATTCTTTGAGTAATTATATTTTTTCCCTAACCTTAAATGCCCTCTTCCCTGAAAATCCTGTTCTGAAATCAATTTTATTATGATAAATATTACTTTATCTTGTTACTTCATTTCTTATTTAATATGTGCCACTTTTTCTTGGAAAATATTCCACTATAAACAAATATTGAGTTATCTCCACTATGCTCTTAAGAATTTAATTATTAGTGTCCTTGTTGTTCGTACTCTTAAATAAACGAGCAGTAATCAAGGACTGGTGTCCTGCAGAAACAGTCTATAAAACTGGAATCAGGCCACAGACTCCTTTAATAAATACAATGGGATATATTTATTTGTACATGGTAAATTAGGGTTTATAGATTAGAATATGAAAAGAAAAGATATTCATATAGAAAGCATAATTAGATGGACACAAAATGGAAGATGGACTTTTAGACTCAAAACAATATATTAAAATGTTTCAAGTTAGCAAAGTCAGGATTTGACTTTTGACCGCATTGCTTAATGATGGTATTTAAAGTCCTAATTAATGTTACTAAGTGAGGACTACCTATTGTCCACTTCTTTCTGATTGGTCATTTAGTATTGAGGATTTTGTCCTATACTATTTAAAAGGATAAAATATTTTTTAGATAAAATTTCAACTCTTTTGGTATGTTGATTTAGCTGACTGTTGGTTGAAAACATCATTTTAATGCCGTTTTTCTTTGTTCCACAGATACTGAACATCTTTATACTATTGTGTTCCAAGAAATCTGCAGTCGCTTTGGGAAAACCTACACCTGGGATGTGAAATCCTTAGCAATGGGTAAAAAAGCATTGGAAGGAGCAGAAATCATTCGCGATGCACTGGACCTTCCAATCACCAAAGAAGAGCTGTTAGATGAAAGTAAAATCATGCAAGAAAATTTGTTTCCTACAGCTACATTGATGCCAGGTATTTTGTCTCTTCAATTGTGTGTGCTATCAAATTCCATCTTTACACTTTCAGTCCTAATGGATTGGATACTTTTTTTCTTGGGCCTGATTAACTTAACATTGCTTTGGAATTTAAAAAAGACAGAGATGTATTCCAATAGTATCTTTATATAATAAAAATTAAGTGATAATAGAAAAATAAGCTGTTTTGCCTATAGTCTATGCCAGTGATGGCTAACCTTTTGCAGACTAAGTGCCCAAAGCACACACGCCCAAACCCCCAAAATGTCCCCCACATGCGTGCACGCCCCTTGCACATCCTATGTCCCCCACTCATGTGCATGCTCCCCTGCATGACTGCCGCCGCCCGCGCATGCACGGCAGAGACCCAAAGATCAGCTGGCACATGCACAGCAGAACTGAACTGAACTGGAGCAACAGCTCGTGTGCCCACAGAGAGGGCACTGCATGACACCTCTGGCACACGTGCTATAGGGTCGCCATCACGGGTCTGTGCTATCATTTCTATGCTAAATGCAGTTTCAAAAAGCCAATCAGCATTAGCGAGGGCTTCTTCTGAACTATATGACTATGGATGATCAAAGTGTGTTTGTTTGATAAGGGTACCTCAATGTTCTGAAAGTGAAAAACCTTTTCTACTCCATTATGTAGAATTTGCATGAGAGGTAAGAGTGATGGCCAGCTTTTCAATATGCATTTCTGCAGAAATTAGAAGACTTGACCAACATCAACTAAAATACAAATTTGCGTGAAAATATCTTATGTCACCTTTTATGCTACTAAGTGGAGAATATATCCATCCCAAACCGTTACCTTTTCTAAAAATACAGTGCAGTTGGTCATAAAGTATCAGAAACACTGTTGGAAAGATGCCATGGGATCTGCAGTAAACTGCTGTCAGTCTTTCCTTTCTCATGGTTTCTTAAAAAGGCAGAATGATAACTCATTGGCTTCCCATTGGCAGCAAAATTTTATTTTATAGAGCTTATTAAATATGATTAATTTACTGAAAAATGCATTGGTATTTTTTCTGAAAATGAGTTTCTTTTTACACTGAAAATACAGTGTTTTTTCTTACTTTATGAGTATTAATTCATATATATTTGTTTATATGTTTGAATACATTTGAACATAGGATAAATATGAATAATGTATCTGATACTATGAAACTTTTTTTTAAAAAAAGAAAGCAATAAACTGATGGAATATCTATCTTCTTCTTTATAATGTATCATCAGTCCACTATTTTAAAACAGATTTTAATGTAATTTACTTTTATGTTTCATTTTTGTCTAAATTTGGGAAGTTATTGCAACAGTAATGCAGTTTCTAATAATCTGCTTCAACATTAAAGATAATTTAGAGTCTCTCATATTTTCTTCACTAATCTGGATCACTAATTTTAGCAAATACTTTGCAGCACTGTTCTATGTTTTATGCGGTATGGATTCTAATGAACTTTAGCTAATCAGGAAGTAGCACAACAATGGAAATTCATTTCTCATATTTTGAATTAGAGAGTTGCCTAAAACCCCGTAAAATTACTATTTTATATTCTTAACATTTAGTGCTCTGAAAACTTATCTTTTGGGGGAAATACCATGAGCAAAATAATTTCCTAGATACAATATTTTTGGAAAAGTACCACAATTCTACAACTCTATCCATTAGGTTTACAGAGCACAATACCTAATGTCAGCAGATACTGAAGCTCTATAAATGAATAAACTTTCTCACATTTATAAACTTTTCAGTAATCTAGCAAAGAGCAAAAATTTGGTCTTTACCTTTCTTATTGTCCAAAATTTTCTTCATTGTAACTTCTCAGGACTGATTATCTGCCATCAAGTTGTTTTCAACTGATAACCATGTAGTTACTCTCATACTATATCATCATGTTCCATAAATTAATTCCCATAAAGTTTTGCATTTCCTCTTTCTGCCTGCCTTCCTTCCTTCCTTCCTTCCACTCAGAATGAACAAAAACTTACAACAAAAGTCAAAGATAATAAAAAAAAAGTTTCTTCAAACATATAAATAACAAGAAAAAAATCAAGGAAACGGTCCACTAAAAAGAGAAGACGGCAAAGAAGTAACAGGCAGCAGAGAGAAAGCAGAGCTGCTTAACTCATTCTTTGCATCTGTCTTCATGCAAAAAGAAACAATAGTCCAACCTATCAAAACGTAACTGTAAAAGACAGACTAGAAATAAAAATTAAAATAAGCAAAAAAAATGGTAAGAGAACATCTGTCTGATCTTAATGAATACAAATCACTGAGACCTGATGGATTACATCCCAGAGTTCTAAAGGATCTGGCAGATGTTATCTCAGAACCACTGTACCACATCTTCCAAAGGCCCCAGAGCACTGGAGAACTATCAGAGTACTGGAAAAGAGCTGATGTGGTTTCCATCTTCAAAAAAGGGGGAAAAAACCAACCCAGGAAACTACAGACCAATCTGCCTAACATCAATACCCAGGAAGATACTGGAAAAGATAATAATAAAAAAAAAACATCTGCCAACATCTAGAAATGAGTAAAGTAATAACTAAAAGTCAGCATGGGTTTGTAAAAACGGATCATGCCAAACAAACCTTATTTCATTCTTCAACATAGTGACTAAATTAGTAGACCAGTGAAATACTGTGGACATAATATACTTATACTTTAGCAAGGAATTCGACAAAGTAGACCACAACCTACTTGGTAAGCTAGAAAAAAGTGGGATAGATAGCATCACAATCAGATGGATTTGTAACTGGCTGAGAAACCGTACTCAATGAGTAGTCCTTAATGGTACTGTATTTACATGGAGGGAAGTAAGCAGTGGTGTACTACAAGGTTCCGTATTAGGCCCAGTACTCCTCAATATCTTCATAAACAACTTAGAAAAAGGAATAGAAGGGGAATTTAACAAATTAAGCTGGCAGGAATAGCCAACACCCCAAATGATAGGCCCAAAATCCAGATGGAATTTGGCAGACTTGAACACTTTAATGTAGAGAAAAGTAAAGTCTTACATTTAGGCAAAAAAACCTGAAAGTACACATATAGACTGGGTGAAACCAGGCTCAACAGCAGTAACTATGAGAGGAATCTTGGAGTCTTGGTGGACAACCAATTAAATATGAGTCAACTGCGTGCAGCGGCAGCCAAAAAAGCCAATGCAATCCTAAATTGCATTAACGGAGGGATACAATCAAGATCAAGTGAGGTACTAATACCACTCTATAAAGCCTTAGTAAGACCACACCTAGAATACTGTATCCAGTTTTGTTGAGACTCTAGAAAGATGTTGAGACTCTAGAAAGAATGCAGAGAAGAGCAACCAAGATGATTAGGGGACTGGAGGCTAAAACATACGATGAACAGTTGCAGGAACTGGGTATGACTAGTCTAGTGAAGAGAAGGACCAGGGCAGTGTTCCAATATTTGAGGGGCTGCCACAGAAAGGAATAGTCAACCTATTTTTCAAAGCACCTGAAGGCCAAACAAGGAATAATGGATGGAAACTGATCAAGAAGAGATTGAACCTAGAAATAAGGAGAATTTTTCTGATATAGCAATCAACCAATGGAACAGCTTACTTTCAGAAATTGTAGGACACTGGAAGCTTTCAAGAAGAGACTGGATTGCCATTGGTCAGAAATGGTGTAGGGCAATGATGGTTAACCATTTGTGGATCGACTGTGCAAAGAGTGCGCACATGCGCGTTGAATGTGTGTGTGTGGCCGAACCCCCAAAATGCAATGTGCACACAGCCCCACGCATGCGCCCCAACCCTGCGCATGCATGCATGGCGCCTGCACATGCCCCCCCCACATGCACGTGTGCCCCTGCACAATCTCTGCACATGTGTGCATGGTCCCCGCATACCCCCACCCCCCGGGTAGGTGTGTGCAGCCCCCCGCATGTACCCTGCACATGCATGGCAGAGACCCAAAGAATAGCTGGCCAGTGGGAGGCGCACTCATGCATGGCGGAGCTGAACTGGGGTGATGGCTCGCATGCCATCAGAGAGTGCGCTGCATGCCACCTCTGGCACATGTGCCATAGGTTCGCCATCACAGGTGTTGGGTCTCCTGTTTGGGTGAGAGGTTGGACTAGATAATCTATAAGGTCCCTTCTATCTCTGTTAATCTGTTAAATCTGTTCCTCAGCCTTAGTCAGGTTTCAGGTGCAATTTTCACATATAAATTAACCAGTTGTATCGCTATTCCAAAAGCATACCACCATATTTTAACATGTCTTTAGTAACTCATATGTACCTGCAGTCTTAAAGTTTTCAATTGTTTATCAATTGTTGCTTATTATTTTTCCTTGAATTCTTAGTGTTTATATTTTAATTCCATTTATTCTACTGAAGGTTCCTTATTTAGTCCTTTGCACTTAGTTGCATAATTACTTTTTATTTCCATTAAAAAAATTCTGGATTTTTCTTTCTTTTTGAAATCTTAACTATTTCTTGCTTTTGATTGTATTCTTTGCAGTCCTTATCCCTCTGTAACATAATTTGTCTTGTTCTTGGTTTTTGTTAAATTTATTTTATTAGCTGCAAGTTTTTTATGACAATTGTGTTTTTCATTCCACCAAGTATCTGTTTTCATTCTTCTGGCTTGCATAACTAATCTTTGTAACTAGGTAATGTTATGTAACACCACTTACATTGTCTAATATAATTATTTTTATACCATTCTGAGCTGCTTCCACATCTACCGGTACTTTCTTTTGCCAATTTTCAATCATTCAGTTGGGAAAGTATTTTCTAGTATTTCTTTACATTCCTGTTCTTTCTTTCTATATCTTTTTGCATTTACTCTAGTTTCTTTCTTTTTTATCAAATTCTAATCTGCATCAACATTCATAACTTCTCATTATTCTTATAGCCTTCCATAATTCTGTTTTCAATGATAACCAAATGAAACATGCTTTTCCTTTAAATCATTCCATTTCGTTATGTATGTATGAATAGACTTAAATGCATATTTGCATCAAACCAAACTGAAATCTGATCTTCCATAATTGTTGGGTCTGAAAATGGTCTTACTTTTTCAGTACCTCTTATTTTCTTTTACATATTAATTCATGCTGTCCAACATATTTGCACCCTCCCTTTCCATTGATCATACTTCATCTGGAGTGTTGCACCTTTTCCCCAAATATTCATTCTGAATTTTTTTTATTATTTTTCTTCTGTAACATTCAAATACCTTTAACCTATGTATTCCTTCTTTTTGACTACCACGACAACATTAAATCCATATATATATGACATTACATACATATATAAATATACGTGTGTGTGTATGTGTCTTTAATACATAACTGCAATCTATTTTTTCTGTTTCTTGCATCTATAATCTCCTGTTTGTGAGAGTAAAATATTTTCATTCAGATCTATTACCTGATTCTTCTACAAATCATGAGGCAATTACAAGCATTTTCTCTCTCTGAAAACAGCTATTGAACACATTTGGAAACTATTTAACATTTATTTATTTATGCCATTTATATGCATGTTGTACTAATCAAGCAAGACCTTTTAATTGTTCTGATTAATAATTGCAAACCTTTTTCTAAGTTCTAGACATTGTGTGAATGTGTTATGTTTAATAAGGATCAGTACATAAATCTTTCAAACAGAAATGGCTTAATTTGACAAATCCAATTGAATTTGCAAAAATGTCTCTGTGCAAAGTATGTGTGAGTAGCATAATTAAAGGACTTGGATTATGGTTAGATAATATACATGCTAGATTCAGTTGCAAATGTATAATGTTCTAATTGCTAGAGCAGCCTATTAAATACTGTAATATAAATTATTTTTTTATATTTATTATATTAATAGAGAATAAAATGTGATAAATTTAATTTATTTAAATTGACATGATTGAAATTAATACTTTGACGATAATCAATCACTTTTTATATCCAGCAGTTTTATAGAAAACAAAGTTTCTTGAAAATATCTATTTTTGGATTTAGCCTAAGAGAAAGGTCTCTTTGAAACATTAAAATGAGGTCATGTGGAGCAGTAAACTATTTAAATGTGCAAATTGCATTGTTTTTCATATAAGAAACCTATGGCAATTCATTTTCCATTTTTCACCTAGCTTTATATGATATATGAGCTGAAATATGTTTTTTAAACTAGTTTTACTCAATGAAAGAAAAGTTTCTCGCAATAGCAAATCAAATACCAATATTTTGTAGTTTCTTTTTATGCAAATATATTTCTTGAAATAAAAGTAATTGTTCCCAGGATAACTGATTATAAGAATAAGCCCAATAATTAGAGAAATATTTTAATGTGTTTTAGTAACTTAATAATATCTCAGCTTCTTCTTTTTTAAACTATTTAATGGCCAGTTATTAGGGTGTCTAAGCTACAGTAAAATGTAATTTAAAAATTACAATTTCTTTCTTGTAATATGTAAGTGTTCTGTCTTTCCAAGTTTTCAATTTTCTCTACCCAAGCTGGAGAGAAATTGATAAATTTTTATTATCATGTTTTCAGAATATTTTGAAAGTAAAAAGTGAAACTTCCCAAATATCTTTGTATGTTTATTATTTAGTAAAACAGACCAAATAACATTTATTTTCACATTCAAATAATTAGAATAAGATTAAGAAACTTAAGTTTCTTTGGACTTATTCTTTGTACTTTGAGGCTTAGGATTTATTACTGCCTTCCTATAAGGCAAAAATATTTTCCATATTCATATGAACATAGAAACAGGGCCTCTTTCTTTGCTTTTTTGTTGTTATTATTGTTCCTTCAAGTCTGTGTTGACACCTGGCAAGTGCCTAGACTTGTCCCTGCAATTGTCTTGTCAAGACTTTAGAATTGGTTTGTCATTGCTTCTTTTCTAAAGGCTGAGGGACAAGATCACCCAGCTGGCTTTGTGCCTAAGGTGAGACTAGTGGTTTATATCCTAATAACTTTTTTTTTTTAATTGAAAAAGTTTTGTAGGAAGTTAGCACCCACCCCTTTCCTGGAAGAGTGAAATATTTTAGGAAATATGAAAAAGGCAGAATATTATATTTCCCTGGGAGAAGCATATTTTACAGACAAAGCAGCTCCCACCTTCCTGCCCCCCACCCTTTGTTAATGGGACAGAGGCAGAAACCCAATCCTTTGTCAAAGGACATTTGCAACACAATAGCAACAGAAACTAACACAATGTATGTGGCTGGGCAGATTTTGCATGGTATTTCATAGACTCCTTGGTTTTCTAGCTGGATCTTGTCTTTGGGGTTTCTTAAGATGTTGGCTATTTTTTGGTCAGTGCAGAAGGTTGTCTCGATATTGTGTCAGTGGAAAATTTTGCTGATTTTATCAGTGGTGTCTTTGATGTAAGGGAGGAGGGCAATCACGCTTTGCTTGCACAGGCACGAAGCCAAAGGCACCAGCCTGAAGATGACGAGTGGGATCTCGTTGAAACGTCGCCAAGATACTCTCAATCTTACACGGGAAAAGACCCAAATACACCAAAACTTAATATAATAATATTATATTATATTATATTATATTATATTATATTATATTATATTATATTATATTATATTATATTATATTATATTATATTATATTATATTATATTATATTATATTATATTATATTATATTATATTATATTATATTATATTATATTATATATTAATATAATATATATATATTAAGAATTGTCCTAAAGATGCGAGTTCCAGGTATAGTTGTAGAAGAAGCGATAGACATCACGATCTCCGGAACGTTTAAAAGTTTAAAAAAAATTTATTTTAAAACTTGTGCTAAGCTTTCGTCGGCCCCTACCGACTTCGTCAGAGTATAAAATTACCATTGAAGAGCTGCTTGCTTTATGTAATGCTGATCAATTTGGTCATTGCGCGTGTAACAGGCCCACACCCTTGCCTTCCCCCTGTAATTATCTTATTTTCTGCCTTAGTCATGCTGATAGATGACGATGCACTTTCCCCTGCCTCCTGCCCCATTGTGTGTTGCCTCTTTCTCTCCCTGGGGGGTAACGCAGGGTTATCAGGCATTGCTTTGAAGGTATTACTCCCAGCTCCCTCTCCCTCATTGTGCCCTCCCGGCATACCAGGCTTTACAGCACCAGGCAAGATTTAAGGAGGACCGATCACTAAGACTGAATGGAGATCGGGGACAAATCTCCTCTAGGCATAGAGATTGGCCCAATGAAGGTGTGACAAACCCTGACAGAGGGCAAGAGATTAGGTTAGGGAAACAGCGGAATGAGGGAGATGGGGGGGTAAGGAAGAACAACGCAGACCCATCACAAGATCATGGGTAAAACAAATGGGTTTAGAGGAAGCAACGTGTGCGCCTAAAAGGGAAAGGCATAACAATGAGGGAGAGGGAGCCGTGAGTAATACCTTCAAAGCAATGCCTGATAACCCTGCGTTACCCCCCAGGGAGAGAAAGAGGCAACACACAATGGGGCAGGAGGAAGGGGAAAGTGCATCGTCATCTGTCAGCATGACTAAGGCAGAAAATAAGATAATTACAGGGGGAAGGCAAGGGTGTGGGCCTGTTACACGCGCAATGACCAAATTGATCAGCATTACATAAAGCAAGCAGCTCTTCAATGGTAATTTTATACTCTGACGAAGTCGGTAGGGGCCGACGAAAGCTTAGCACAAGTTTTAAAATAAATTTTTTTAAACTTTTAAACGTTCCGGAGATCGTGATGTCTATCGCTTCTTTTACATATATATATATATATATATATATATATATATATATGTGTGTGTGTGTGTGTGTGTGTGTGTGTGTGTGTGTGTGTGTGTGTGTGATGTATACACACACACATACATATATATATACATACACACACACATACACTTGTTTGTATGTGTGTATATGCATGGGGAACAGTAACTCCTTTATTTGCTGTTAAGTTATTATTTGGTGATTTTTTATTTGAATATTTTCTTTGTATTAGATACTTTAGATTTATGTACATATAATTAGAAACAATAAAGATTATTGTTTGAATTGTTATTTACCCATAAAGGCAATGTAGGGCAAAAAGAAGAGATAGGAAAAAGGTAAGAAAAAAATGTGCACATGTTTTTGTGGGTGTATCAATCAGTGCATTTAAAGTATTTGTGTATCTTTCTTACACAGGAGTTGAAAAACTAATCCACCATCTACACAAACATAACATTCCCATAGCTGTTGCTACTAGTTCATCTCGAGTGACATTTGAAATGAAAACAAGCCGACACAAAGAATTCTTTGCTTTATTTCATCATATTGTCTTGGGAGATGACCCTGAAGTAAAGCATGGCAAGCCAGAGCCTGATGTGTTTTTAGTTTGTGCGAAGAGATTTGATCCTCCTCCATGTCCAGAAAAGGTAAACATAATCACAAAATAGAATAACAACCAGAAATCCAAGCTGTTATATTTTGATCTTTTATTGTTTTTAATATCAAAATAATTTGATATTTGATGGTATTGTTATTGTCTTTATTTTTTTAAAAAAAATATTTTTATTGAATATAAATATTAAAAAAGACATACATAACATATACACAACAAACATTTATACAACATATACACAAAAAGAGTATAATTTCTTCTTAAGCATTTTTTCAGAGTGAAAAACAATTCTACTTATGATATATTCCTTCACCTCTCCTTAATCTAATAACATTTTTTATTATATATATATATATAAAACTCGGTAATATTCCCCCTATATTTTTTGTATATTTCTGATTTTTAACCAATTATACCAATTATTCCATATTTTGTAATAATCTGATTCTTCTCTTTCTTGTAATTCTTTGTTAACCTATCCATTTCAGCGCATTCTAAAATTTTTCCTACTACTTCTGTTTCACTTGGTGTTTTTTCTTGCTTCCAATTTTTTGCGTAGGATATTCTTGCAGCAGTTAATATGTGAATTGTGAGATATTTGATATCCTTAGGGTATGATTTGTTAAAGATTGCTAATAAAAATGTTTCTGGTTCTTTTTCAATCTGTGATTCTGTTGTTTGTTCCAACCATTTTTTGATGTTAGACCAAAATTTCTTTGCTGCCGGGCAAGTCCACCATAAATGATAGAAAGTCCCTTGTGCCTTTTTGCACTTCCAACAAATCGGGCTATTTTTAGGTTGTATTTTAGCCAATCTGGTTGGAGACATATGCCACCTATAAAACATTTTCAGTTGGTTTTCCTTGTACGCCATTGCTTTTGTTAAATTTAGGTTTACCTGCCAGAACTTTTCCCATTTTTCCAAAGGTATTGTGTGTTTGATGTTTTGAGCCCACTTAATCATCATTTCTTTGACTGTCTCTTGTTCCAATTTATAGCGTAGAAGAAATTTGTAAATTCTACTAATTAATTTATTTTCTGAATCTAATATAATTTTATCTATTTCTTGTTTTTGATTATAAATTTCATATGTTTTTATATGTTCTCTGTATTTGGATTATATTTGAGTATAAGTCTATTTCTCTGTGTAAATCTGTCTCCAATTGTTGTTTTGTCTTTAATTTGCCTTGATAGTCAATTATATATTTATATCTAATTATTTTTGTCTTCTCTGTTAAATTTGGGTGTCTAATTGATTCTGCCGGTGCGAGCCAATTTGGTATCTTCATATAATGTTGTTTTTTAATTTTAAGCCAAATTTGTAATAATGAGTTTCTTATTGTGTGTCTTTTAAAATATGAATGTGTTTTGTATTTCTCATCCCACATAAAAGAGTGCCAGCCAGTTTGGAGTTCGTGTCCCTCAATTGTTAAAATTCTAGAGTCCTTTAATTCTATCCAATCTTTGACCCACGATAGTACTGCTGCTTGGTAATATATCTCCCAGTCAGGGAGTGCAGCTCCTCCTCTATCTTTTGTATCCTGAAGCAGCTTAAATTTTATTCGTGGCCTTTTCCCTTGCCATATAAATTTAGATGTTATTTTATTCAGCTTTTCAAAAAACGGTTTATCTATTTTAATTGGGGTGACCTGAAACAAATATAAAAATTTAGGTAAAATAGTCATTTTGATGGCTGAAATTCTTCCTAGGAATGAAATATGTAAATTTTCCCATTTTTCTAAGTCTTTCTTTGTTTGTTATAGTAATATATCATAATCGTTTTCTTTAATTGCTGATGTTCTTGTAGATAACCAGATTCCTAGATATTTTATTTTTTTCGTTGTTTGGATTTGTATATTATCTGTCAATTCTTTTGTTTGATTTCTGTAAGGTTTTTTACAATTAGCTTCGATTTACTTTTATTGATTTTTCTCCATAGTATAGAAATGGGAGGTGCCAGGCTGGGTATTCTATGCTCTAGCTCTATGTCCTGAGTTGAAACTTCTGAAGATCCACCTCCCTGGTGACGTCTCTTCAGTTTGTTTCAACTCAGCCTAGCTCATGGTTGCAATCCTTCAGCTCCTGAGCTGTGAGTTGAGCTTAGGATATTTCTCTGGAATTTTTTTGTGTTTTTCCTTAGCTTACTTTAAATTCTAGTTTTTCCTTTTCCTTTTACTCCATTTTTTCTTTTGCTTCTATTACCCTGCTTGAAGTGCTGCTTGCAAGGTATTTGGCTGGGGAGGGCTCTCCACTCGCTGAGAGCTTGTGGGGGGCGGTTTGAACGTCTCCCACCAGCCTCCCCTTCTTCGTTGGTGGCTGTGAGGTGCTAGCCGGTTGGCTTTCGCCCCGGTATCCCTCAGAGGCTTGAGGAGCGGCGAGGTCTCAATTTTAAAGCCGCTGGACCCGCGCCGCTTGTTTTTGCCTGTCACGTGGCTCCCTTTGATCACCGCCAGTCAGCTGTGAGGCCGGGTGGGTTTTTTGCCTCTTTTAACAGCGTTTGCAGCCACAGCAGCTGCGCCAGCCTTTTCAGCCTGGGCGCTGGCTGCTTTGCCCTCTTGAGTCAGTGAGGTACCTTTGGGTGCGTGAGAGGGCTGTGCCTGCCACCGGGTCGCACTACAACAGTGCAGAGCGGGCTCCTGAAGCCTCTTTTAAGTCGTGGTGGCCATTGTTCCCGCACATTTTGTGGCGGCCTTAAGTCCGGGCGGCTTTGCTCCCCCGGCAATTTATGGGCACTGAGCTGGTGGGCTCTCCGCTGGAGCGGATGGGAGCCTGGACTTCTTACCAGCCTTTACGGTCTGCAGGCTTGCATGGCGGCCTGAACGGACTAGGTTTCTGAGATCATGAGCTGCATTTTATTTGAACTGCGACGGTTGGAGGTCAGCCATTTTGAGAAGCACAGCGGCCATTTTGACTGACATTTCAGGCCTGTATCCCTGTCTTTGTTATACTCCAGACTTATTGTGACGTTTCTGGCCCTTTAAGGGAATTTTTTTGTCTTTTCTGGTCTGGGTGGTGGATCGGAAGACATGGGGGTGCTGACAAGTAGGCTTCCTTTTCGGCTGAGGGCTCTTGGTCGCCTCAACATGACAGAACCAAGGACAGAGGCAAGGCCCCTTCCAGACCACGAACTGCCAGCGTGGCTGCTGCAAATAAGATTAAGGCCTGGGCTAAGGCTAGATGTGGCCTTTCCAAGGCAGAGGAAAAGACAGCTTAGATCAGACAGCGGGCCTTGGACAGAGAATTTGCAAAGGCTACTGCCTCCAATCTGGACCAGGAATCCCCTCCGCTTCCTGTATCTGCCCCCACCTGTCTGCTCAAGGTGTAGGAGCGCCACAGCCTTTGTCCACTCCTGTCATGGCCGGGCCCTCTCAACAGTGGTCTCCTGAGGCTCGTTCGGATTCTCAGCCTATTCAAGGGCAGGCAGGGGCTACCAGAGTACATGAGGCCACCTTCACCTCCACGGTGGCGGGCCTCCGCCAGGGTGAGGGGGGAGAGCAGGATGTCCCCAACTTTATGAAATCCTGGGTGGAGCAAGCTATTCGAAAGGGCATTGCAGAGGGCATGCAACTGCAGTCACAGGCCTTCGCCCAGATGTATGCATTCCGACCAGAGGTTCAGCCTCAGAGGTTTGTGATGGCCCCTGAGAAGGACCAGGCCCTGTGTTCCCTTTCTACATCTGAATTGGCAGACTTTGAAGAAGACTATGAGGGTGAGGGGGAGTTTTCTGATGTGGATCAGGACCAACCCCCCAGGCCTTCCTTCAAGGGCTTATTTAATCTGGCCCTGTTGAAACCTTTGCTGTCAAAGGCCAAAGCTACCGCTCTTTTGGGGCCTGATCCATCACTCTCAGGTGCTGACTTGGGTAATGGGGAGCAGGATGATTATTTGTTCACAGAACAGGCTGTGGAGGCGGACACCATTCCCATTCCGGGAATGTTTTTGGACATGATATGTAGACAGTGGACGGCCCCTGCTGCAGCCCGTTGGGCCTCGGGTCTGGATAATCAATTGTTCACAGTTGATTCTGACATGATTAACCTGTTGGAGGTTCCCAAGGTAGATGCTCCTGTTGCAGCACTCACCTCTTCTTCTGTGTTGCCTCCTGACGCTGAGGATGCCCTAAAGGCAGAGGATCGCCGGGAGGAGATGGTGCTTCGTCGTGCACATCAGGCAGATGCGTGGGCCGTGAGAGCGTCTTCTGCAGCATCCTTCCTCACCAGAGCATCTGTTAGATGGCTTCGTCAGCTGCAGGGCCACTTGGCACTGAATGATGTTCGGTCCCATCAAGACCTTTTGAAAATTCTAGCAGCTGCTGAGTATACGGCAGATGCCACCTTGGCGGCCGCCAGGTTCTCTGCCAGGGCCATGGCCTCATCTGTCACTGTTAGGCGCGTGCTTTGGCTGCATCATTGGCGCATGGATGGGAAGAACAAGTGGAAGCTGGCTTCAGCCCCATTTGAGGGAGGTTTCCTGTTTGGGCAAGCATTAGATCCCTTGCTTATAGAGACGAGGGATAAGAGAAAGATACTCCCGTCCCAGGGCAGGCGAACGGATTTCTGTTCCTCCCCTTATTTCAGGCGGCCCTCCTTTCGCCAGAGGGGAGCTGAGCCAAGCTTTCCCCTTCCATTACTCTAGGCCTAGTTTCCAGGCCGATAGACCTACCTACTCCCGGGGTAGACAGCAGCAGCCCACCAAGCCCTTCAGGGGCTCAGGAGGCAGAGGGGCTAGAAGATCGAAATGACTGCCTGCCTCAGGCCCCTATTGGAGGCAAGCTCACCCTGTTTGCAGGCCGCTGGGACGACCTGACAACGGACAATTGGGTGAGGGAGACTATAAGAGCAGGGCTCTCCCTCGAATTCCTTTCACCTCCTCCGAGGCGTTTCCTCCATTGCCCTGTTTCTGGAGACCTGTTCAGGCGGGGGCTCATGAAATTGGCTATTCAGCATTTGCTGGAAATTCAGGCCATTCAGCCGGTTCCACTGGGGCAGAGGGGGCGCGGATTCTATTCCACCCTATTTGTAATCCCAAAGGCCTC